CCTGCCTAGAATCCCCCAGTGAGGGGCTGGGGTGTGACTCAGTGGTAGAGCACTTGTATAGCACATGCAGGTCCCCAGAAACACTGAGAAAAATGTTTGTATGGTAGTTTTGTAGTAGTTTTGGTTACACCAAATATTCTGTCAAAAATCAGTTTACTTCTTTTGTTTTGTTTTAACGTTTTGTAGCCCTGGCTGGCCTGGAGTTCACAGCCTGTTTGCTGCCTTCAGAGTGCTGGCATTAAAGACTTGGCCACCATGCCTGGCCATTTTGAGACTTTTAAAGTCTCATCATGGTTAGACCATCTCTGCAGGACAGTAATGCACCCCACATTGCGGTTACCAGATCTACATCACCCTGTACTTTGGACTGTGAACATACCCCTCAGGCAGCCCCTCTTCCATCCCTCTCAGCCTCTGTCCTCCCGAATATAATGGTCTCGTGCTGGTCACAAAGCCCTGTGGTTACACGCTATCCACCTCCTTGAGTCTCAGTCCTCCTCACTTGGACTACTCCGTTCTCCATTAACGACCCCCCCCATCCCTCGTCTCCCTGTGTGATCCACACTTGCTTAAAGCCACCCACCCACTCAGTGGGGTGCAGCTGGGACACCCTCCCGCAGAGATGCATGCTGTTGGCGGTACCCGGAAGTCTCCGACTTCCCTCTTCCTTCCTCACTGGCCTGTGTGTTGCTCCAGCATGCTCTTTCCTCCCTGTGCTGTGTAAGGCTGTGGACGGGCTCCACTGGATGCCTCTGTAGCCGTGGCTTGCAGTTTCCCTGTCTTCTGTTGGTCTCCAGCTTGCTCTTCATGAAGGTGGTCATGGCCCCATTGACTTCTCCGCCCCTGTCCACAGCAGAGCTGGGGCAGCAATTCTGTCTAGTGCCCTTCCCCTCCCCCTTTGCAGTCCATCTCTTGGCTTTCCAGGGCCTCCCTGGCCACCTGGGTCTCCCTCTTCTCCCTCCCGCTGCCCTCGATGGCTGAGACACCATGCTGTGACCCGGACTCTCTGGACAATGCAGAGTCCTGGTCCTCCTAACACCTGTAATCGCAGCTGCAGGTCCCTCTTGCTGTTTGAGACAGCATGTTCCCAGGGCCTAGGGATGTGGATGTGGGGCACTTTGGGGATAACTGTTCAGCTACCTGTTCCCTCCTGGGTTCTTTCTTGTTGCCTCTGTGTGTGTGTGTGTGTGTGTGTGTGTGTGTGTGTGTGTGTGTGTGTGTGTAGAACAGAGGTCAATCTTGGTTAGGTCTTCTTCAGTCACTGACAACCTTGTTTTTTGAGACAGGTCCCTCACTGCCATGGACTTGCTAATTGGGCTAGTTGGACTGGCCGGTGACCCCAGGGATCCACCTGTCTCTGCTTCCCCAGGGATGGGATTACAAGCCGGGAGCAGCTTTCTTACATGGGTTCTGGAGTCAGAGCCAGGTTCTTGTGTTTGCATGGCGAACACTCTACTCACTTTTCTGAGTGATGTCCTCAGCCCCGGACCGCTCTTTCAACCTCTCCACGTGGAAGGCGATGGCCTTGCTGTGTCCAGATCGGCTCTCATGGCCCAGGAGACAGAGACCCCGGAAATGATGGGCCCTGGGGATCCACGGCCTGGCTCTCATGTCAGGCCCATGGCTCTCAGGCTGTCATATAGCTGCTCTGGGTTGGGTCTTACCAGGGATGTAGTTTGTCAGCATCCAGCTTTGAGAGGGGCTGCCAGATCAAGAGACAGACGGGAGGCTCTTCTGCCCACCCTGACCCCAGCCTTCTTCCTGCAGATGGCATCCTGTCCTTCTTGAAGAACAACAAGCCAGGAGATGCACTGTGTGTGTTGGGCCTCACACTGGCTGACTTGTACCCCCATGATGCCTGGACCTTCACCTTTGGCAGGTTCCTTCCGGGGCATGGTGAGCTGAGGTTCTATCAACTCTTGCCCAGGAGGCAGAGTGGTGTGGTCCCAAGGCCCACCAATGCCGGGGGTGGTGTACATGTGCCCCAGCCCCCGGGTGATTTGTGTGCACGAACTTGAGCCTATGTTCTCACTAGGCCTGGGCATGGTCCTCGGAGCTGACTGCACATGGCAGGGCCGGAGGATGAGTTTCTCTTCGGGCTGTCCTGGGCTGCAGGGAATGCTGGGATGGGTCCCTTGAGCCATGACTGTCCCTTCTTCTGGCCTCTCCCCAGAAGTGGGCGTGTGCAGCTTTGCTCGGTTCTCTGGGGAGTTCCTGCAGGCCGGGCCCAGTGTTCCAGACCCAGCTCTGCTGGAGGCGGCAGCAGATGGCCCTGAGACACTGCCACACGAGGGAGGCCGGACCCTGTGCTTCAGCGCCCTGGGCATGGTTCAGTGCTGCAAGGTGAGCATGGGCAGGGACGATCAAAGCCAGGAGCCCCCGGCAGAGTCAGGGCTAAAAGGTGGACGGCCTTGCTTTTCATTGAATTCAGTGGCTGCCCCTTGAGCCACTGCTGTCCTAATGGGCAGCTGCAGCTCAGCAGCTCCCAGCATCCGTTCAGCCGCACTGGCCGCAGCCGGGCGGGAATTCTGGTCCCTCAGGCGCCAGCTCTACCATGGCCACTAAAGGAAACTTTATCTAGATCTCTACCCCTTTATAGAACTCAGAAGTCACAGGTCGAGGTGAAATTCTGCCGGCTCAGAGAGGTTGAATAGCAAGTAGCTCACCTCTTCTCCTTGCTCGAGTCTCCTGAAAAACCAGGTGTCCTTCCGCTCAACCTCCACTTCAGAACCCTAGCTACATATGGTTCTCCCTACCACTTCCTGTCAGCTAGTCACTGACTCAGCCTCCTGACCCTTGGTTCATTTTATTTAATAAAACAAATGTAATATGTCTTTGAACTGTTAACAAAAACAGCAGAAAAAAATGTAACACACTTTAATATTCCACATTTCCCCCTTTTTGTCTAAATAAAAATGAAAGGTTTTAACTTTAACATAGTGCAACTAACTATATGCAACAAAAACAGTTATCAAGAATTAATTTACAACTTTCAGTCCATTTGCATTTAGCAAATTCAGAGAAAACACTTCACCATCCATCCCATCTTAGTGACTCCAAAGTCACTACACTACTAATTACATCTAATTCACTTTCTTTCATAATTGAAACTCCAACTATAACTATCTAGTCTTCAGCTCCATCCAAGACCCCAGAAGGATATAATATTACCTGAGTAAAGAGGAAGTGCATTGCAAGCAACTTCCAAGACTTTAGAAATGAGACATCTGACTGCCTAGACAGTCATCCAAAGTCCCTCTGCAATGTTGGGTCATCCATCTTCAGCCTATAGGCCTAGAGTACCTAGCAGACTTTTTAGTGAAGCACGAAATTTGAAGGACTATCCTGCCTTGTTTTGGCAAAGTTCGTCAGTCACGTTCCTGTGGGTCCTGCATGTCCGGTCTGTATGGCACACAATCCAGCAGTCAAGGCAAAAGCAGTTTCTTGACCAAATGGCTAATCTTGCCACAATGAAAGTAAACTCCTATGGAGTTTCTTCAATGCTCATCATTCTCTTATGAAGTAAATTGGTGCTGCCAGGAGCAGATGTGTCTCATTGTCATAAAAAGCCCCAAGTTAATAAAACATTCTAAATGCCATACTCTATAAGTCTTTGAAGTGTTTGAAGACCATTTATCTATCTAAAATATATCTCTGTATGATCTATAAAACATGTCTAACATATTTACAAATTTGATTGTTATAGATGACTACTAACTTAGGTTTCTTGATTATCCTAAATAGTTTGTAATAGCTTTAAAAAACTAGAACTTATTTTATATTTTTAAATGACCTGCATAGGTACAATAACTTAAACAGGGTAGAAACATATATACAGTGTAAAAAGCAACTTTAAATTTGTATCAATATATTATATTCCCCTAAATGATAACACACATTCATAACCTACCAAATAACCAAAAGCCACCCACACCCCTCTTGGGAATGTGGGTGCCATGCTCTCCAAACTGCTTCCTGCTGTCTGTGAGTGGAAGACATCTTTAGGGTCCCTGAGAAAATTTGACATAATGGCCAAGTCCTGGGAAGACCAGCAGTAACCTTTGCTGATATTTATCACCTGTTAAGATTAAGAGGTCTTTCCTGATCAAACCATATTAACCTGGAAGGAATTCACAGCCTCTCATTTCCTGTAGAAACAAAAGCAAAACCTCTCCTCCAAAGCGTTTTTGATTTCCATTTAACAAATACATTTTTTGACTTCCATTTTAAAGTTAAGGCATTCCTAAAGTATGTAGGCTGGTTTATGTCATCAGTCCCTCTTTCAATTCCAGGTCTTTTAGCAACTGTCCTTTGCTTATCAGCATTCAAAAAATTCAAAATCGACACAATACTATACAGGATGCAGACTCTGTGTATTTCCCATCTTTATGTGGTTTTTTTTCTTTTACTGTCTCTTTAAAGACTATATTATTTTAATCTACTTATTTCTTTCTATGACTGTCTATAACCATTTTCTTAATTTTTTTTTTTTTTTAAAGATTTTTTTTTTTTTTATTTATTATGTATACACACACCAGAAGAGGCCACCAGCTCCCACTATAGATGGTTGTGAGCCACCATGTGGTTGCTGGGGATTGAACTCAGGACCTCTGGAAGAGCAGCCAGT